AGAAACGAACTTTTCATTAAGACGAATGAAATGCTATGCATTATCATCTTCCGGACTTTATTTTGTATTTGAATTCTGTTTATTTATTACTTTGCACTGCTACCTTATCTCATTATAGTTATAGACATAAAATTAAAAAATAATAAAATAATAAAAAAAAAAAGAGGACAAAAGAAATCAGCAGGTAGTTTTATTTTATTCCTTTTTGTGGTGGTGGTGGTGAGGGAAGGGCATATCTTAAAGAATCATAATAACTCACCGAATTGTTGAAACCATTGGAACAAGCAACTAAAGGATGATTGTGATCCTTCACAAATCTTGTAACGACCCATTTTCCAGACTTCTCCATTTTTACCAAAATTGTTGCCTTGCAGCCCTCTCGTGCACTAGGCCGTGATTTTTTGTCTGATCCATAAATACCTCTGTGATTGGGAGAGAAACCTTGTTTATTACATCCAAGTCTCCGAGCTAGTGTTCTTCCATCAATTCCTGAACGACGCCGCTGCATGATTCGCACGACGAAACCCATCTGTCTGGCATATTCAACATAAAATTTTCTGGCAGCATCTTCAGAATCAAACTCCATACCCACATATGGCTCTAAAGTCACATTTCCTTCTGCTGCATCTGTGTTCACCTCAATAGAGTTGTGTGCTGGCCCTGATCCGTCGTCTAAATTCACTGTAACACTTTCATCAATGTTACTAATCTAGAAAATTGAGTTTAAAATCAATAAGAAATAATATTATAATCATTGCGCTCTCTCTAGTTTCTTCTTAATTGCGATTCTCCATTAATCAACACCTAACTATAGTGAGCATTCACCCACTTCTTTTGAAAAGTTATTTTCCTTCCAAAAAAGGGGGAAGTCCAATAAGAAATTATTTTACATCATAAAAAGCTCTTTCAGATCACAAACTACTCTTTTTTCCAAGAATGATATAAATATGAAAGATGTCAAAGCGAGCATAGCTCAACGGTAATTGACATATGCCTCCAACTAAGAGGTTGTGAGTTCGAATCCCCTCCTCAACATGTTGTACTCAAAGAAAAAAAAAGATATAAATATGAAAGATTATTTTAAAAAAAAATAAAGAAGAGGATATAGCAACAAAGTTTTTAGCATGAAGCATCCTACACTTAAGCATATAAAAATTTGAACTAAAGAGAGAAATGGAGAACAGGAAAAAGAAAGAGAGCGATGGCTAGAGAGAGAAACAGGAACCTTGGGATCTATGTTACATTATGGTACAAATTAACCATAAGTATAAAACTATATGGTGAAAATTTTTCAAATTAGCTGCCTAAAAACAAGTTGACTCTTTTATCTTATCGCATGATTAAGCCTCATCTTGAAGAAGCCTCCCATTTTTTGATTGGAATATTTCCCCTCGCAAACTATAGGTCATGTTAAGCCTACATCAACTCGTAATGAAAAGACTGCTAATTAACCATCACAGATTTGAAGTGTTGCAATGCAACGTTCAAGAATCATTAAGGACACACATATCTACTTGAATGAAAAATAATTTTAGTCCTAATCTTAGTAGAGCAAACAATAACATAAAATCGAGTTCAAAAATTGGAACTACCTCACCTGGATGACAGGTAACTTCATTCCTTCAAACAGTAGGAAAAAGAAAACAATCAGAATAACATCAACCGATGGAATTCTCATAATTCAATTCAATTAAGGGGAAATTATTCATATATGAAAAACCAAAACCATGAGTACCATTCGTTTCAATCATTGTCAAGCACCTACATGAAATAACTCATTAAAAGAATGAAAATGCAACCTAATTCCAAGTACTCTGCATTACTCATCACTCCACTCCAATAGTGGACATGTGGGAAAATTCAGACCCAACAGAAAAATTAGGGCATGAACTAGACTAGTGAACAATTAAGTTCCGGAACACTACAGACGTTTCAGATTCCGAGCAGCGAAGAACGATTAAATGTTAAAAAGCGAAAAAGAAAAAAAATGTCAAGACAAATGAATGATGAAACGAAAACCCGTAAACAGAATTATGGGAACTCACTGAATAGAAACTCGTAATCCGCCGAGACCGCTTTACATCCAAATCGAAACTGAAATGAAGATTGATTTCGTCTTCTGAACTGAGAAAATACTTGGAAACTGAAGCGGGATTGGGTTCAGAATCGGAATTCTGTGGGTCTTCGGTGAAATCTCTTCCCCTTCGCTGATTGGAACGATGAAGGGATGCGATTGAACCTTGGCGACGAAGTTGTTGTGTTGGATGGTTATGGTTGGTTATAGGATTGGATCGGTTTGGAGAAGTGGGTTTTTGGAATTGTACAAAGAGGCTCAGACGGCGAAAACTTTTTCACAAGTATAAGCAAAGCAACAGATTTTCTCTACGGAAGTGTTCTTGGATTTAGAAAAGTACGCCTATTTTCGTTTGGATCTCGTGAATTTTCCAATTCCAACATTGGAATTCAATGAATTGATTTAAGGCACACTTCGACAAAAATTTCTATTCTATTTGATGTATAAGATATTAGTAGGTGTGGATCTACCATTAATATATCAGTTTTAAAAAGTGACGGTTTTGTTTCCAACATTTAAAAAATAATGCTCATCCTGAATGTTGATATGATATTAGATAGTGTTCATCTTAAATGCTGACATGATATCGATGAGTTTACAAATTTTAGAAGATATGTAACAAGATGACATTTTTTCCCTTTTTAATTTTCTCTCCTCTTTCTCTCTCTTCCCTTCTCCTTGTCTACAACATTCTTCTTCCGTGTCACGATTCGAAATTCTTACCTAAAATATCCAAAATCTTCGATTCCACCTCTTTGAATATTTTGCCATGAAGATATCCAAAGAGGTTGTAGAATCGAAGATTTTGGAAATTTCTTTTTTTAGGGATTTGGCACGATGATGTCGGAGATGAGGAAGCAGAAGAGGGAGTAGGGATAAAGAGAACGGGAAAATAAGAAGGAAAAAATGTCATGTGAAATAAAAATAATAAAAATTTAATAAATATGGTCATATCATCTAAATTTTACCAACTCACCAATGCCAGGTCAGCAAAGTTCAGTGACAGTGTCACTGACGGAAGTTTCGAGAACTTTTTTACCCTATTTTTTAAGGTCAAAGACCAAATTGCCGGTTTTTGAAACTTAGAGACTAAACCGAACTTATTCTCAAACTCAATGGCCAAACATGTATTTTACCAAAAAAGGAAAAGAAAAATCTCAACATTATTGGAAAAGTTAGATTTTTGACCCTAAGAACTTTTGAGTTTGGACTTTTGACCCATTTTCAAAATATTGTAGTGGGGAAATTGAGATTTTTGACCATTTTCTGAAAACTAAATTTCTCCACAATCTTGATTATCTCCACCAATCTTTGGAGAAATTGAAATTTCTAACCTATTGTTTAATTCAATTTGGATTTTTGACCTCATTTCAAAAAACTTTAATTCGTGACTCTCCTATTGAAAATATGACCTCTCTCAATTTTTGGTAAATCTAGGATTACGAAAATAGTTCAAATTGATTTTACTCATAATCCACAATTCCCCTCCCCTTTGAGATTAAGATGTTTGACCTCTTCTTTAATTTAATTTGGATTTTTAACCTCATTTCAAAAAACTCTAATTTGTGACCCTCTCAATTTTTTGTGAATGAGTGATAACGAAAATATCCTTAAAAGTTTAAATTGATTTTACTCACAATCCCTATCTGATTGAATTAAATAATGAGTAAACAAAATCGATGGATTTAAATTTGAAGAATCTAAACTAATTTAAAGTAAAGTTTATTTTTATTATTTTAAACAAAAAACTCAAAATAAAATAAAATAAATAAAAATGAGCTGAATCAAATACGATGTCAAGAGATGCATATGATTATAATAACATAGCATTAGTCACACCAATTAAAGTTTTATTTTTCCTCTCAATTACTCCATTTATTAGAATACGGTGAATACGGTGAATATGGTGGAATAGTCTCATGAATGATTTTCAATGATTCAACATATGAATTAAATTCATATGATTCATATTCTCGGCCTCTATCATTTCTAACTCCTTTAATTTTTCTACCGAATTGATTTTCAACTTTGAGGAGAAATTTTTTGAAATTCTTAAAAACATCACTTTTATTTTTCCTGAAATAAACATAAGTATATTTAGAAAAGTCATCAATAAAAGTGATAAAATATGTATTTCCTCCTCTAGTTAAAATCCCTTCAAAGTCACACAAATCTATATGAATTGAATCTAATAATTCGATATTTCTCTCTAAACTTTTATGAGATCGTTTAGTAATTTTATCTTTACTGCATATCTCACATTTCTCAAAACATTTTTTAAACTAAGAATTAATCTCAGACTACTCATAGTTCCCACATATTTGTTATGTTTATGACATAAACGAGCATGCGAAAATTTAAAGAAGAGAGCATAAAAATTGAACTGGTGGATGCTTTATTTATATTATCAATGTTCAATTTGAACATTCCATCACATGCATTACCTTTCCCAACAAAAACTTCTTTTTTAGTTATCACATATTGATCATATTATTCCATAGTCTCTTTAAAGCCAGCCTTATTAAGAAGATAGATTGACATCAAATTCTTCCTCATGGAGGATGTGTAAAGCACATCTTTTAAAATTAAAACCCTTCCAACAATGAATTTTAACTCAAATTCACTAGTTCCCATAATTTAAGTCGTAAGCATTATTGTTTTAGGCTCTTTAAAAGGAGTATAAACTTTGAACCAATCATTATCATAACAAACATGTCTATTGGCACCAGAACCATCTCACCATCCATCAACGCACTGAATCATATATATATATATATATATATATATATATATATATATATATATCAGTTATCATATCCACAAAAGACTCTTCAGTAACATTAGCCTGGGGTACAGGTTCATGTTTTCGGAATCTGCAAAATCGAACAAAACAAACTAATCTTGAGTATTGTGGATATGCTTGAATTCACTTGGCTTGGATTTTTCTTATTTGAAAAATGAGGTTTATTCTCTTTTTCATATAACTCTTCTTTGGCTTTAAATGATTATTTTCAGAATTTGACCATTATGTAAATTATCATTAGTAGAGATTAGATTTACGTTGGTGAAATTTTGATTACCTTCTTAAATTAAAGTATCTTGTCCTCTTGCTTCTTCTCCCACGCGGATGCAAGTGATTAGTGATAACTCTCCAAAAGAGAATTATTCTAACTATTATTCGGGTAGTTTTGTGCTAATTATTGCTACTGTGTATCTATTTTAGATCTTAAAAAGCATAAATGGAAATAGAGTCTGTGAAATGAGCTTAATTCCCTTGTATTTGATGCTTTAGCTTAAGTTCTGGCTGATTTCTTCTATCAATGGCTCTTTTGCGCATAGTTGAAAGTTGAGGATTAAGACATGAGAAAAGCACAGAGCTTAGGCAGAAATTGATGAAGCATTGTTGAGTTGAAAATGTAAAAAGCTGGAGCAATCTAATGTTGGAGCATGGATTCACAGTGCAATAATTATCCCACAAGAGGATATTTTACCATGCTCGTAAAAATTCTAGTGGGGTGCCCTAAAATTAGGGCTCGACCTAGTCGACACACACAAATTCCAAGAGGAGAACATTCCTTTCGTGTTGGAAGAGACAGGGAAAGGAATCCACCATTTTCGGGAGGAGAGCTGACGATAGAGAGAAGCTCTGCTGGTCCTTGCGTGCTAGTATTTCTTCCATCTGCGTTTTTGTTTTCTTCTTTAAAATGGGTTGTATCTTTTGCTTCCCTATTTCACTTCCCCCTTTCCCATGAACTAAACTTTATTTTGGTGGAGATTTCCATGCTGTAACTTTTGAACAATCAATACTCTGGCTGATTTCATTTTGCTAGCTATTAAATAGAGCTGTGTTGATTTCTTTCATTTTATTAAGCATTGTTGGCCACTTTGTTTAGTTTACTAGTTTCTATATGATCCGGAAGGATGTATGGATAATTGATCTGCTATATTTGTGATTTAGCTGCTGTTTATTTTAGTGGGTTCGTGGATACTCAGGAATGAGATCTCGTAATCATGCTTAGAACTCATTTTTATTGCTTGGATATCTAGCAACAGGAGTTGTAGGTATTCATATTTGGGTATCTCGGAAAGAAACCGTGTCGAGTTGAATAATAGCAGTCGATTTCATGTTAGAGTGTGGGTTGAGATTGAGTGAGAGCTAAGGAATCTCCCCCGTCTTCTCCATAATTGTTATCCATTTTCTTTTGTACTGTACTAGAGCTTTTCCTTGCCCCAACATTCGTAGGGTGTGTTCATTTCTTGGAATCCTTTATAGCTTTCATTTATAGTACATCTTTTTACAGTTTTAGCAACAAACCATTATATTTTTACTTTATTGCACAATTGGTATTCTCGAGCATAGCTTGAAATTTACACTAAGTCCCTTTGGATTCGACCTCGTTTGTACTACAATTGACGAATATAGTGTACACTGGTATTCACCTTGATTGTGAGCATGCAACAATTAGCATCTCTAGAGAAATTTATTTTTGCTCACATAGTTTTTTGATATTCTCACCACAATGGTAGAAGCCTGTCAATTATGTCGGCCACAATTTTAATTTCTTCAGATACTACTTCAGCTACTATCATTTAAAAGTCTTGCGCTTACTCAACTACAAAATTTTCATCTACCATATGAGAGTGAAAGAAATGACTTGAGCATATTATTTCACCCCTGCCTCTTTAGTATCATATTTACTTTGCAAGGCTTTCCATATATTTCTTGGCAGATGTGAAAGTAATATCATAATAATCATAAAAATGATCAGCAAGACAATTTAAAAGATAATATGGCATTTGTACTCATCTTTCTCATACTTGTCAATTTTCTCCTGGTGTTCCACGAACTCTTTAACGCTCATGCTTTCAGTATCAATTTTCATTGGGTTTTTGTCAGTGAGGACATAGGCCACCTTGAGAAGATTAGGTAGAACGACACTTTTTCCTTCAATCTCTTAAAGTGTGCTTGTTGAGATCTCGAATATTCTCATTAGGTTTCTCAATGGTAGACTCCATATCAATTCTCCTTAAAATCCAAGTTGAATTTCCTTAAAATTATTATTGGGGGAATTATAAATAATAGAGGTAATTGGAGTAGAAATTGAGAAATAAACATGTAAACAATTAGGTTGAGGCGCAAGTATATCGCTCTCTCCAAGCCCTCTGTGATGTGTATTTATTTATCAACCATTGATTCAGCAGGTACCCTCTAGCCTATCCCCTCCGAGGTACAACAACCCAATTGAAACATCGTGTAGCTCAAACCATCCTGCAAAGGAGGTTGAGCTCAAAGCTCCATAACAAAGAGCATCCCTCTTTTAGCCAATTGCTGTTAAAAGAGCAAAATAGAGAAGAAAGTATGAGTTT